GACGGGCAGCACAAGGGGACAGGGAGTGGTGCAGGGGCAGCTGTGAGGTCAAGAGGTCAGCAGAGCATGATCCGGGGAGGCCAGGCGGCCACGGTCAGTGGACTTCACTTGCAGCAAGGCAGGCTTTGGGAGGGTTACACAGGAGCTGGGGAGCAGAGAAGCTGGAGCTTCGGGCCCAGAGTTGGGGTGGGAGGGGTGATGGGGCTTGGACCAGGCTGCGTAGAAAGACACAATCAGGTGGGCTAGAGGGTCAGGGATGAGGCCGAGCTGAGGGCGGCCTGCACTGGGCGGTGGGGGGTCAGGTCTGAAGTCCCCGGCTTCCAGGCTGCTGGCAGAGAGGACGAGGACACGGCAGGAGAAGTGGTCTGGCTTTTTGTGTCCCCACCATGGAGACAGACTCGGGCTCAGAACGGGGGAGCCGGCCGGCACAGCTTCCTTTGGCCCCAGGGAGGACTCCTTGGTGGGGTGAGGGCGGGTGACCCCAGGCCAGTGAGGGCAGCAGAAACCTAGCAGGGCCAGTGGCCCCTGGGAAGCTCCTGCAGCCATTGCCCTGTTCCTGGACCAGGCCGTCCCCTCCCCGCCCCAGCTCCGGCAGCCCCAGGATGGCCAGCTCCGCACAGAGGGCCTGAAGCAACTCAGATGACTCTCTGGGAGGCAGGGCAGGGCTTGGGGACAGTGGGAAGCTGGGATGGGCCAGCCTGCCGGGCGGGGACGGACTGTGATGGGTCGTCCCAAGCAGGCCGTGGGCAGCCCCGCGTCCCTGGAGAAGGTAGGACGGCCCCATCGTCTCCAGCCTGTCCCTGAGGTTAGGCGGACAGAGCCACATCACACGGGGACTGAGACATCAAAGGCTGCCTGGGGGGCCGTGGGAGAGGCTGGGGGGCAGGTCGGCGCCCCCCTCTCACCCCCCCAGGACCCGGGGCCTTCTGGCTTTGATTAGCAGCTGCGGCTAGAGCAGCTGAAACAAAGGCACAGTCGGGGGGCCTCCCAGCCCTCTGACCGCAGCCTCTACTGGGGGATTTGGTCTGGGGGAGGGCCGAGGAACAAACGTCCCCTCCAGCTCTCTCCCAGCCTCCCCTGATCCCCGCAGGGACGTGGGGGCTGGTGTCCGGAGCAGCCCCCACTGCGGGGTCTCGGGGAGTCTGTGCCGCGGCCCAAAGCCCCAGGACACTCACGCACACACTCGTTGGCGGCCTCAGCGGTGCCCCGGGCCCACGGGCGGTCCTGGAAGAAGGGCAGACAGCGCTCGCAGTCGACGCCCGTGGTGTTGTGCTGGCACCTGCAGGCCAGCCGGCCCACCTCCTCGGGCCCACACTCGCTGGCATGTCCGTGGCACTGGCACCTGGGGACACACGGGGCAGGGGGTCCAGAAACGGCGGAAGGCAAGGGGTTCACCGCCAGGCATTCGGATGAGCCCCCGGTCCTGTGCTCAGTGACGGAGCTTGAAGGAACCTCGGCCGCGTGCCCGGGGTCGACAGTAACGGAGGGCTGACGGCACGCAGACGAACCCCTTCCAT